TTGCAATGAATACTCAACGACGTGCAAAAGCAAAGAATGCCTTTGAAAAAGATTTCTGGAAATTAATAAATAACTCAATATTTGGAAAAACTATAGAAGATGTAAGAAAATGAGTAAATATAGATTTAGTTAGACAGGTAGGTGAAGAACGGAGATTACGTAGATTAATATCAGATCCGGCATTTGTTAGTAGGAAAATTTTCTATGGAGCAAATTTGGTAACGGTACATCGAAGACAAACCAATATAAAACTAAATAAGCCAGAATATGTTGGAGCATGTATTCTTGATCTTTCTAAATACTTTATGTATGACTTTTGGTATGGACATCTCAAAAAGAAGTATGGTGATCGAGTAAGACTTTTATACACAGATACAGATTTTTTAATCATAGAAATTGAAACCGAAAATATTTATCAAGACATGATCGATGATTGTGATTTATTTGATTTTAGTGACTATCCAGAAGATAATTGGGTAGTAAAAAATCTTCCAAAAGATCAGTAGATAATCAATGAAGGTAAACATGTCTTAAAAAATACAAAAGTTATAGATAAGTGGAAAGACGAAAATGGAGAAGATCGTGCTATTGGCTATGCTGGAGTTCGTGCAAAATGCTATAGTGTTATGTGAAAATTCACGAAAAATTTGATAAAAGCAAAGGGTCTTAAAAAGCACTTATCAAGAGAGAGCTTACACATAAAATATTTGAAGACTGTGTTTTAGAGGGAAAAGAGGATCAACCACGAACCTCACAATTCCTCTGAAGTTACAGGCATCGAATGTATAGAATAAAGCAAACAAAGAGGAGTATTAACCCACTAGATACAAAATTATAGTTACTCCAAGATGAAAAAGCTGATCTATATGTATATGGAGATTGTGAAATTCCAGAAGAATAAATATAGCTTTGCTTCATAACATTTTAATATATCTATCCACTATGTGATCACCTTTGATAATAATATATATAATTTTTTACTTATACAATTATTAGCAAAAATATAAATAAGATCGAGCGATCTCTCACTATACTAAATAATTCATGAATGAACGGATCGCCAAATCTGAAATGAGATTTCATAAAATCTGCAAATTGGTTTGTTAATACGGAAATATATTATA